ACAAAGGGCCACCACCTCGAGCTGACCGCCGCCCTGTAGCCAGCAAACTTCAAGCTATTTACTCGTTGTTGGGCAACAACGCCCCTACCCCAATAAACGATGCCAGCCACGAACATGATGAAGTATATCGTTACTGTTCCGGGAAGGAGCCGCTCCTGCCAGACAAGACTCTGGGACAATACTGGACTGTAAGTGATCATTTCATGATTGTCCTGTCAAACCTCGCGTGCCCTTGATGACATCAGTATATGTTTCAGCGTATGGCCAAGCCTGGCGGTCTTCCAACTTTGTCCGAAATTGCCCTACAACACCTCACCATTCCCGCATCTGGTGCCTCGGTTGAGCGAGTTTTCTCGATCTTGGGAAATATCGCCGTTCCCTCCAGAGGCCGTCTTCACACCAACATCATATGTCACCTTGTCCTAATACGCCACTGGCTCACAAATGACGCTGCCTCAATGGATTTGGAGGAGTAACTGTTGTGGCATTTAATTCTTATGTTTCATTTCACGTGACCAAATGTTCACCAGTACAAACAGACATGACACCAATTCTAAAATTGTTTTAGAATAACTTTCAAAATTTTGCTACATACATATGTGATTGATGAGAGATAAATGAAATGTTACCCGTTTTGTGTCCTACAATCACCACTAGTTTGAAGTTGTTCTGTTGGGGGTTGTTTGGGTTTCTGATGTCTACGCCAAGAATAATATCCGATAGGCTTGGTAGTATTGTATAGTGTGATGATTCAAATAGTTTTGAGATATATATAACAACTCTAGGCCTTTCTTCCCATGAAGTTGGGTTGTAGTCGTATGCTGTTACTCTATGCCAAGCTTTGTGTGACGGGAAGGATAGGTTGAGTGGGTTAAACCACGGTTCTTGAAGTGTGAGGACTGTGTATTGAGTTTTGGTGAGGGCTTCTAAGGTGGTTGCTTGCGATTTCTGGCAGTTGAAGTGAAAGATGGAAAAGTTGCTGAAGGTAGTTGGGAGGTCTGATGTATTGTCGCTTTCCGAATGGGTGTCGTCGGTGAGGTCTAAATTTGGTATATGATTTGGGGGACTGTTGGGTATTTCTTGAGGACTATTATTACTCATGGTCTTTGTGTTGGAGGAGGGTGATTTGGAACTTCGTGTTTCTAAGTGGGCAGGTCAGGCTTTTAGGGGAGTGGGCGTATTGAGGTAAAAATCTATCGACTTTCTCTTTGGTTTTTTGACTGTCATAGTTTACACACCTGGCACATACTTGGCTAGAATCGTTGTTTGCACAATCTCTCGTGTTGTGGGGGTCTGCACATTTAGCACAGTGTGCTATAGCATTGCATGTGGCACGGGTATGGTGAATATCTAGACAATTAAAGCACTGAGTGGGGCCTTGAACATAGTTTCTACTTCTGATGCGGGTGCAGTCCACAAATAAACCTCCTCTTTCAATCATGTGAGCTAGTTCTTTGTCCAATAGATTAACGATAATTGTGCTGTGTTTCTTCTTGATGTTGTTGGGGTTGGTGAGCCATCTGATTGAGTGGATAGTCTCCCGTGGAATGTCGTTTTGTTGGCTTAGTCGATCTGGGAAGCTAGCTTCTTCCACGTCAATGTCGGCCGGTACGGAGTTGAATAGCACTGGGTATCTTGTTTGATTCGTTTCGAAGTCCTTGTGGGCGATTTTGGTCCATTGATGTTTGTTGGCCAGTAGCCACGATTTAATGTTGCGATTTGCTACGTTCATGAGTACGTCTCCTGATTTGAGAATAGCTGCTCCGAGAATCTTAACCGGTTGATCATCGATCTTGGCGTTGATTGAGAGGAGGGCTGCGTTGACGTGTTGTACAATTTCCGTGTTGGTCATGTCTTTAAAAGGTGTCTTGTCATGGGCCTTGTGAATAATCAGTGTCGCCACTTTGAATTTGTTTATTTCGGCGTTTCTAGGTGGTTGTTTGGGTGTTGCTTGCGTCTGTTGACCAATCCGTGGGTTTGGGTTACTCCACGCTTGGGGTTTCGCTGGTAGGGGGTGTTTAGTCGTTGCTTGTACCGGTAAGATCGATGATGTGATTTTGCTGAGTTCGGCTTTGAGCATCTTGTTTTCTTCACGGAGTTGATTGATGTTCTCCATGCACATGGTCATCATCTTGATGAAACTCTGGACTAAAGTATTGTTCGAGATCGTTTTATTTGACGACATAGCAGTCAGGATGTCGGCCATGGTTTCCGATTCCGTATTTCCACAATTTTGGTTCGGATTTTTGGGGGGAGGGGGGGATTGTCGGCATTGGTGCCGGGGGGGGGCGTTTCGAGGGCATTTGGAGGGGGGGTTGCTTGGTTCCGATGAGGTTTGATGATGATGTTTTTTGTCTGTGGTTGATTGAATGATTCTCCGACAACGTGATTTTGGGTGGATTCCCCCCGACATGTTTCATTATCCATATCAATGCCCTACACCTACCGGCCGCTGAGCGAGAAGAAATTTCCATTTAATAACGTCGTGTTTTCATAATTTTTGTTTTTGTTTTTGAAACTCATCATGCCAACATCATGTCCTCGCGCACCGTCAAAGACGGAGTGAAGTACTTAAGACCAGCTATCACTGTCTGGAGGTGCTCTGGGAGGTCTGGTTCGGCATCTTGAACGATTGCTGCATCAAATATTCATGAAAGAATGTCAAGAAAATGACAACTACAAGGGAGCTCATGGTCACCTGGAAGACCGCAATCGGGGGAAGCACGCGGTTGAAGTTGAACTTGGTGGGGCTTTCGTTAAGCCCAGCGCGTTCAACTTCTAGAGCGCGGACGCGGCCGCGCGAAGACCTAGCGCATATAGCCCCAAATGGATGAAATGACCAAAGAGAATTGGAGACCCGAGGTGGCGGACCTTATCCAAGGTTTTCACTGATGTGGATTGATAACTTTCTCTCTTCTGTTTCTCTCTCACCCTATCGCCTTGGACATGATATATAGGCCTTCATCGACTGTTTACCACCAGCCAATCAGAACTTGAGGAAGACTTGGGTCGTTCGTCCAACCGATAACTCATACTCCATGATCTATACGGATTAAATCAAGAACTTGAGTTCGTTATCGAAACAGTCTGTTCACCAAAACTTTTTGATATTTTAAGTTTCAAAGTGTTTTCGAATTCCTCAGTCATCCCTGAGAAGAAATTTTCAGTTTTTTATACATCAAATGGAGAATCAACCCATCAATATTGATCATCATCACACCAATATGGAAAAGTATCGCATCCGTATGGAATAACATGTTGATGAAGATTTAGCAACCCTCTTGAGGACGTATGACGAAAACGGAGGTAGCTCAACATATTCATTGCAATGCGAACCTTACGTGATCAATTTGCAACATGGGTTACGTATACTCATCCAGATTTTCATCCAAGTTTCCCTGCTTTTGCAAATGATGCTGCAGAAACAGATAGAGAATCAGGAAGATCTTATGAACCAGTTGGAGTTCAACTTATCCTCATATATATCATAGGCATCCTGCGGAGGTTAATGTCACTGGGCAATCTCTCATTCAGAACCGACCTCCAATTATCCCGCAACCATCAGAAACCCACACTCAAGCTATGCTGAATGTGGAAACATAACATTTGAGACGATCTTTTTCAAACGACGTAGAGATTGAGAATAAAAAATAAAAAAAGAGTAAGTCAAAGCATAAAAATTAAAGGAGGTCAAGAAGAAACAGATCAGATTCAGAAGATTCGTCATCAGATTCAAGTTCTTCAGACGATAATGATATTTATTCAGTTGATAGATATCAGGTTGAAAGAGGTAGAGAATTATTAAAGGAGGCAAATGAGTTCATAAAAACAGTAGGACAATATTATAACAGACCCGGAATCTCACATGCGACAGAAAAGTTCAAATGATGCAGAGATATACCAATATATATCTTCCACAACTTCTTGTTCCTGATTTATAACGATACAATTGTATTGATTTGGAACGAGTAAATGCGTGTTCAGTTGGACCTATCGAATAAAATGAGATCTTCAAGAGAGCGATCAAGACCATTTCAAGATTCGTGTTTTTAGAAAAGCACTATCGCTGGTCTTTCCTTGCGCAAAAGATTTGTTTAAAAATTATTGTAGACATATCAAAGATACGGTGATTAACTTCTTAAAACAAGTGAGTCATAGATTTTGAAAACAAACTCTTTTTCCACAGTCTATACCAATCTCAATCCTATTTATCACAACGTCCAAGCGAATTTGATAAATAACACCCTCAATCAATTAAGAAAAGACGTACAGATTTTTTTATATTGTGGGTTTTACATACTTCAGATTCCCTGGTCTGATATTGTGACGGTAACAAACTGATGGATGGTGGTCCAGTGAAGCTTATGATGGTTTGTCTCTATGAAGTATCTTGATGTTACCAAACGAATCCCTATTTCAAAAGTCTGACCACAGGAGAAAGTAATCGTACTCTTGCCTATTATGGAAAGAATTCGTGAGTGAAGAAGAATTTGAAATGCATTTCTACTTTTTCATTCAAATAAAATGTTCTTATGCTGAATAGCTCTCTCTCTCGTTTTACATTTCTTGAATGAACGATAATCGGATCCGAATTCATTTATCCCATCACCTGACATTTCTTCTCAACTCTTCAAATGCGTCAAAAAAAGCTCTTTGGGTTTTGAGAAGCTTTTGATACGATGATTTTATTTTACTTTTCTCTGATGATGAGACTTTGAATAGTTCAAGTCCAAGAAGAGAACTTTTGAACCGAAACATATATATAAGAAATGAACAATCTGGTTGAACGGTTGAACAGAAATTATCAATCTGATAACAAACCAAGCTCACCACTCCAACACATCCACACACACACAAAAAAACACTAACCACCTTCGAATCTCAATTACTTTCAAGCCAAACTCATCACCAAATCTCACATCCAATACACCTACCTTTTTTTCAAAATGTCAGTCAAAATTTCTAAACCAACTTCTACTCAACCTTATTCTTCGGATAGATCATTATACGTTGGAAACTTAACCGATGATGTGAATGTTCAAGATTTACTTAACATCTTCAGCCAAGCTTCTCCAGTGATCAATGCAAGAGTTTGTATCGATAGAATCACTCAAAAACCTCGTGGTTATGGATACGTTTCTTATGCAACTCCAGAAGAGGGTAAGTGAAAGTTCTGATAAAAGTCTTGAAACGAAGATGAATTGAATCACTAATTCTGGTTTCTTTTGTCTTTGTTTTTTTTAGCTGATCTCGCTTTAAGAGAATTTAATCATATCAACCTCAAAGGTAAACCTATCAGAGTGATGAGATCATACTCAGGTAAACCAAAAGAATTTCCATCAGAAGCTAATTTATTCATCAAGAACTTACCTAAATCATTCACACCTATCAATTTACATGATAGTTTCGAAAGATTTGGTAAGATCTTATCTTCCAAGATTTCATTTGATCAATTAGGTAATTCAAAAGGATATGGATACATTCAATTCGAAAACCCAAAAGATTCAAACGAAGCGATCCTTAATTCAAACGATTTCCAATTTGATATAAAAGATGAAGAAGAATCTAAGAACATGAAGAAATTAAAAGTTACCAGTTATGTGAAACCAGAAGATAGAAAACCAAAGTTTACAAATGTGTTTTTTAGAAACTTACCATTAGATTTCACAGAAGAATCTTTCTCGAAATACGCCAGTGAATTCGGTAAGATTACTTCATTAATCTTGAATCCGATTAACAAATCAAAAGCTAAGACTAGAACTGGAAATGTAAACTATGAAGATTGGAATGTAGCAAGTAAATTAGTAGAAGAAAGTAAATCAAAAGGACCAGGTGAGATCATTGCCTTACGTTCGATCAAGCGATCTACTCTAAAAGCAAGTTTAACTCCCAAGAAACCATCCAAGGAATCCAAAGAAAACCCACAAACCAAACCTAAACATAAACCATTATATTCCAAAACGACCATCAAAGTTAGTTTTGTTCCAATTCATTTTTCAGAAACTCATTTGATTGAAAGTTTTTCAAAATATGGTAAAGTTTTATCTTCTAAAATTATTGAAGATAAAAATCCATCTTCTGATGATCGATTTGGATTTGTTACATTTGAAAATCATGAATCGGCATCTGAAGCTATTAAATCTTCAATTTTACAACAAGATGTTTGGAATGTTAGACCTGCTATTAATAATCAACGTCGAAAATTCAAAAAAGTTGATCAAATCCCTAATCCTACTGAAAAATCAACTTGATGGTTCATTAGTATTTGATCATACGCGCAATTCAATTTGGTAAGTTTTTCTTTTCTTTTTTTCTTTTCAATTGGTTTGTAGATAAATTCATCAAGTTTACAACATTGTAAGACTTTGAAGTCGATTGTTTGTTATTTTCATTTTTGTGTCTAAAGTTGGTCTATATACAATGGTAGACCAAAGTTTGTTCTTCGGTGATGTTTTTTTGGATATCAATTCAGGAGTGCTCCACTTTTTAGTAAATCAATATCATCAGTCCTTATTGCATTCAGCGTTGAAAAGATCCAATGAAGGAACCCTTTTGATATATTTATTTCATTTTAGTCAGAGGAAATTGAATGCCATGATGATGATGAAATGAATAAGAACCATGCGGGAATTCGATGAAGATCTCTATCATTGTTTTGGTATGAAAGTGCTGATGAATTGCAGTGAGAAAGTGTTTTGAAGAATCCCAAACCTTTCACTTGTAAAGCTGTATGGGAGTATCGTAAATGTCAAGGATTGGTGTAATGCCCTGCAGTCTCTGAGAGTTGCCATCCAATCGAATTCAAGAAAAGTTTAAGAACACTTCTAGCTAACGAACCAAGAACCAAGAACCAAGAACCAAGAACTAAACATTCATTCTAAAATACAAATCGACAATGACTTCAAATCCTCAAACTACGACTTCTTCATCTTCTAATTCAAAACCAGCATTCAACTTTACAGATTGTTCAAAATATTTAACTTCACGTCAGTACACTTCTATTCGATTAACCCTTCCATCATACAAATTCAAAAGTTTAGTCATTTATTTTATTTTATTTCATTTAGGTCATACTGCTACAATCGAAGGTTTACAAAATGCTACAAATGGTACAATACCAGGTAAATTGAAAGAAATCTAATACCTTCATCTCCTTTTTCCCTTATAAAACACAACCAACATATACGATTCGAATTTCTTAATATTAATGAGAATGATTTTTATTTTCCAATCAATCAGTTTCAGAAAGAGTTGAAGTTTATAAACCACCAGGTTCATCCAACTTACCAAACATTGCAGGATCTTGGGGATCAGGAAAACGTAAATCCGATTTCTCTCTCAATGTATCATTCTTTAAACTCACTCAGACTTGATTTATTTATTTGGTTGGTTGGGTTTCCTGATGAATCTTTAGCTACTTCAATGTCAAACGGTCAAGATTTCATAACCACTCTTTGGAATAAATTCGAACATTCTCCTCTTTATCAATCACATCTTTCTTCTTTATCTAATCCTAATTCGAATCATCCTAATCCTAGTTCAAATCCATCACAAGTTCCAGCAACAAAATCATAAGCGTCATCCATCCCATCTCATGGTTTTAATTGGTTTTAATCACAGTAATGATGATGATGATGTGGATAATGTTTTCAATCTTAACTTATTTCAAAACCTTGTTCAGAACTCTCATTTCTTGTTCTTTAGATCATTCATCTCTTTCTAAAAAAAATCAAATTCTTTCTTTGTGCCAGACATCTTCCAAACAAATCATACAAAAACATATAAAACTTGATGGAGTGAGTATCAATCACCAAAATCTCAATCGAATGTATTAGAATACACACTGAATGTACGAGAGTGAGATCAAACAGTGAATAAGAATTCAATCAGAAAAGGTAAGCCTATCTTTGGTGACATAATCATAAACCTAATCTTTTCAAACCAATCAATTTCGAATAACACAAACCAATATAACCTAATGATAAACATCTATCTTGTCCTTCCTTCTAAACACCAATTCCAAGAAAGAAAAAAAAACTAAAAGAAAATCAACTCAAACCAAACCCATACCAAAGAAAAAACCAATTCACATCATTTCATATCTTATATGTTTCCAACAAGTTTTCATTTCATTTGATTTCATTTAATTTCATCATATATAAAGATCCAAAAAATTTTAAAACCTTTTTCCGCTTCTTGAAAAAAAATCAATCAATCAATCCATCATAATTCATCATCATCTTCATCCCAATCTACTTTTTCCATCATAGCTTCACTTTCATCATAAAGCAAATCTAATCCTGTAAGTTTTTCTAAATATTTCACTTCATTTAAAACTTCTTTGATCATTTCAAATCCTTTTGATTCATAAGCTTTTACAACCTACATCAAAAAAAACACAAACACCCATTAGTTTTTTTTTTATTTGATTTTTGATTTTGAAAAAGATTGTAAATTTAAATCAATCAAACTTGATCACTTAACTGATTCACTACAACCTGTACATTTCTCATAAGCAGGTCCAACTAATTTCATACTTTCAAACTTTGAAAGAAATCCTCTAATCTGATGTGGTACATCACCCAATACAGAAGAAGATACCTCTTTTTTTTCCTTCACTGTTTCTTGATTCGGTTCATCTTTTTTTAAATTTGGTACTTCACTCATAGCTTCTGGTCTAAAGCAAAAAAAACACCCAAAAAAACAGAAAATCAGGTTGAAATTAAAAATCATTTGTTTAAAACACAAGCATTCAAGTTGGTTTTCTTTGATGTGTGTTTTTGAAAGATTTACCCATCTGGATGTTGTAAAACTGATGCCATCACTTCTACTACTGTTGCACTAGCAATCGCAGCCAATCCAGGTCGAGTGACCGTACACATTTGATCCAAAGTTCGATCAGTTAAAGACTAGATCCCAATCATTTTGATCAGATACGATCAACACTTCAACCTGTTTTCAAATGAGATCAAGAGATTGACATACATCTGTAGGAGCCACGATATCATTACAAAAGTAACAACCTAATTGTTGGATGGCAGGTGAAGTTGAAGAACCCAATGAATCGGATCCAGATAAAGTCTTATTCTTTGAAGACCTTACACCATGTCTCATCACCAAATAAGAATCAAATCCAAGTGCAGCATTCATGACCAACTAAGATCAACCAAGTTCGTTGAGATCCAATCAAGATCAACCGAAAGATCTTTCCATTCCAAACAAAACGAAAATCTTAAAATTTTATACATCAACATTTCACTTACTTTTCGTTTACTTGCTCCTAAGACAGTGGGTAACCATCGACTTTCACGCGAATCCATCAAAAGATAAATCACATCATGTTCATCAAACAAATCTTCTAATCGTTTCACATCTTTTTGAACTTGATCGACTAAATGAGCCGGGATTGGATGACCAGGCATAGGAATTGACATTTGGATTCCTGTGGCATCCTAAACCGCAAAGATGTAAATTGATGATGTAAATCATAAGATCTTTTACTTTCAAAACTCATCAAGAAATCATAATACTCACCACACCTGGATAAATCCTTTTGAGTGAAGCTGCAGCGCAAGCTGCTTTAGGTTTTCCTCCTTCAAGACAATCATTAAATTCAAACAATGGTTGTCGAACTGGATTGGAAAATGAAACAGTCGAAGAATCTACAAAAGTGATCTTTCGTACTCCCCATGCCTAAACCGAAAACCCCATGAAACCTCAACTTTGATGCCGTATGATGATGATGAAATGATATAATCCTTACCATCAATGTACGTGCCACATAACATCCCAACGTTCCAGCTCCTAACAGTAAACATCGAGCCGAAGCAATCTTATCCAAATTCAAATCCGGTAGGATTCTCCATCTCATCAATTTCAAATTCAAGTCTACAGCTTGATCAGCGAGTCTATAAAAAGATCATGAAAGGTTTAGTCTTAGCAAGGAAATCACTTGAAAGTAAAAACCCCGAAGATCTACCTTGTTGGATCCATCATCGGTCCTAGATCTGCCATCTTAGGACCAAGTTTACCAGCCGAGTTTTTTTCCCATCCGATTGCACTTGGCCTTCCAGTAGCTATATCATATATTCAAACACTCATTAGACTTAGGTATGAGAAAAGAGTAAGAAAAGAAATCCAAAGTGGATGAGTTTACATTGAGGTTCTTGATCAGGTAATTCGATCGTAGTTATCAAACTTCTGGTCACCGTCATATTTGGCTTTGAAGTTAACGGATCTCTAAAAGCAACCACTTGAAAATGACGAGCATCTGAACCATGTAGTTTGTTGAGTTCAGCTAATAAGTTTCGGAGTGGCCAACCAACAGCTTGAGGATGAGCAGAAGGATCAATAAAGAAAAGGTAACGCTAATGAATCTCATCAGTTAACTGTCCATTCACTCATTTTTCAAAAAAAATCAATCTTGATTTAAAATAAATTATCACTGACATCTATTGGTAAAACTCCTTCAAAAAACTTGTGCCAAGATCGAGTAGAATCCAAAACCCATTTCCCATTCAACTTTTTCCCAATCCAATTTCCCTTAAAAATTTCTAAATCAAATGAATTCGATTGATTTAAAAGATTTTGAATCTCATGTGTTTCATTTGAATTGAAATCTGACCAAACTCCTTGATTTCCTACATTCATCCAAGATGGTTTTGCTATGAAAGCTGGATATGCAAACCAATAAAAATATTTATATTTTTTTAAATCTGAAAAAGTTATGACTAAAAATGTAGGTGATTTGGTTTGAAAACTTTCGACTTGTCCTAATGAATTCCACATCTATTTGATTGAAAAAAAAACAAAATCACTTTAGTTTGTATTTTCTTTTTCTTCTTGGTTGGATGAGATGATTGGATAAGAATACTAACTTCATCTGCATATTGATTAAAAAGTGATTGTTTATCACAAGCTTTAAATTCTTCAATCGTATTAAAATTCTTCAAGACACCAAACATAGTCACTCTATCATTCAAACTAAACCATAACCACCAAACCAACCAATCAACCAAGAAATATATGAAAAAAAATACCAAGATAAAAAACCTTACGTTGAAAGACTAGACTCCGATATTTCCAAATCAAATGATTTCCCATCCAATCTAATCTCACCACCTAATCCAATTTCTTTTCCAAGATGATGTTCTTTATCTTTTACCCATCTACCTCTTTCATATATCCCTTTGATAGGAATCGGTTGATCTCCTAATTTTAATACATCAATTTTTAATTTCGTTAATGTATGCCAAAAAGTTGGATCGATTGAAGATGAGAATGGAATGAATTGTAAAACTGATGTCATTCTTGTGTAAACTGTCTTATTCTTTCGGTTTGATTGGGTTTGGTTTGATTGGGTTTGAGTTGAGTTGAGTTGTGCTGAGCTGATTATGAGGATGTTGAATGATATTGTGAAGGGTTCATTTCTTGATTGGTCTTCAAAATGCTCCGGATTGGAACATCACATATCACCACATCACATGTCACATCACATTTCACTCATCTCAAGTGCAATTTGCGAATTTCAACTTCAATTGAAACACAAAGGGCATAAACTCAATCAAACTCAACACACAACTTATGAACAGCTATAATACCCTCAAGTGTCAAGTTCTTGATAGTTTCATCAAACATATTCATCAATCAATCCCCAAGAATCTATTAGTATGATCATCAGTATATAATGAAGCAGAAGAAAACAAATGATCGAATCAAAAAAAATTGATCAAGAAACATCACACTACAAATACTACAAAACCTCTATTTTATGAAATATACTTTTATTACTACAATCTTTTTCGTTCTTTCTTTTTAGCTTCAATCACTAAAAACATCATGAGATGAATGATTTGAATGATTTGAATGATTTGGAGGAGCAGGAGAATTAGATGTAGTAGCTTTTAATGCTTTAATCCTTTCGATCTCTTTAACTCTTTCTCTAATCCCATAAGTTCCATCCCTACCACCTTGATTGATTCCATGTTGAGAGAGTCCTAAAGACATTCCCCAAATCCCTCCAGCTCCTTGTGTCCATCTTTCTGATGAAGACAAATTAGATGATGAGATCGATTCATTTCCACTTGGATGATGATGATGATTACTATTCGCAAAGGCTGCTCTATAGATTTGATTGGGGTTGGGGACCATCATCGAAGTAGAGTGTCTTAAGATTGGATTACGTTGATTGGATGGGAAACTATCGGATAAAGTCTTTTCTGAAGTCAAATTCGATTGGAATGTAGAAGGATAATTATCAGGTCTTCCTGTTCGGTTTAATTGAGGTGGAGTTGTGAATTCATTAGGTAATTGAAGAGATGGTCTCATAGGTCGTGAAGAAGTAGAATTAGATCGATATCGAGTCGAACGAGGCGGATGAGATGGTACAACATCAGATAAATGGGTGACAGTATAATCCACTGCTGTGGTATGTTGATCAAGACTTGATGTTGAAAGACTGGTAGGTATTGATGAGATATCTTCATCAGCTTCAGGTGTAAGTGTGCTAGTAGGTTTTACAGGCTTTTCAACTGGCATCGCTTCACTTTCTACCCAAACATATTCTCCTGTTCCGTTTTCGGCATTCTCTACTGCTCCTTTACTACCCACACCCGGTAGTTTAAGAACTCGAACTTTAGGCCATACTAAATTATCCACAATCCAACCTCGTAGTCGTCCTAAGATCAGTTGTTCAACTTTTGGAATATCTTCGAGTTTTGCTCGAGCTCCTAATAAAGATGTCGTCGACATGCAAAGTGTGAAATCTGGATCAAGGGAGAGCAGTATCGCCGGTGTAGGTGCAGCAGGATCATGTTCGACAGGTAGTGGAATAGCCACAGGGGGTATTTCAGCCATAACCTAATCAAAACCGTATTTAATCAGTGAGAATTGCATAGAAATAGATTGGTAGCACTGGAATCAGGGAAAAGAAGCTTACAGTGGCCGAAAGTTGATTCAAAGTGATACCCAAGCAGACAGGCAACACAGCGAAGCGGGAAGTTGGAAAGTTGATAACGACCTTTGTTTCAATCGAAAGTGTAACGTGATCCGAGTAATCCACATCCACCTCAATCCTCTGGTCAATTTACAAAAAAAGTTACAGAGGGTCAGATAAACCATTGATCGGGTAAACCTCGAAGAATAGAATCTCACCATTCTTCCAGTTTCATCAGCAGGTCTCACACGTGCGTTTGTGCACAAAGGAAATTGATCACCAAAGTCCACCTCAGTGACGGTGATGTAATCCTATGAGCCAGACCGAAAAAAGCAAAACAAAAAAGATGAACCAAGATTTGAAAAGTGAATCATAAGATGATTTGATCACTCACAATACTGATAAAGCCTGGCTCACCATCTCTGACTGAGTTAAGAGCCTCTTCGACCATCCTTTTTGCTTTTTCGCCTCTAGAGGAAGAAGCCGATTCTTCATCAAGTTCACCATGAACTAAACTACGATATGCTACAATGGCTTGAGCGACCAAAACGTTGAGCCAGTCTGCTGTCTCGGGTGGATGAGTTGAAAGATCATAAGATAGTTTGGATAAGACGTCAGGTACGAGTGGTTTTACATTTCGATCCGCAAGTGAGGGTCGATTTCGGCGAGAAGAGATGATGGACGATCGACGAGGTTTCTATGAGATTTGAAGTAAAGGAACTGATTAGTTGTGTAAAACTTTTGAGATTTCAAAAAATTGATAAAACCATTCCGACAGGGAAACAAAAACCTGCCTTATGACGTCGATTGTGACGAGCAGCTTCCGGATCTTCGAAGATTACATACCTAACAAACAAGATCACCACGATGATACTAAAATATTCGTAATCAGAAAAAGATTAGTGATAAGAAACTGATCATGGAACTGATTGACTAACAGAGAAAGTTGGCCAACAAGTACCCCTTGAGTGAAAGTAAGACGTAAAAACCGAGAAGATTGATCGGGTGCCGAAGGAGGAGTCTTGTTGGCTGCTTGGACCATGATCGTTTGTAGTTGAGGTTGGATGGAAGATTGTCAAGGTGGAAAGCGAATGTAAGGTAAAGTTGAGATGGTGGGGAGTAGAGTAGATAAAGTGAACTGACTCAAAAGTCACGCATACACCTTGGTTTCATGAAACAACTGGTCTTCTTGTCTCAGCAAAACTTCAACTGCGACACTTTCAAGTTTCATTTCATCATTCTCATTCTCATTGCTCACCACTGCCTCTCTACCAACTCACTCATCATGTTTCTATGGTCAGTGGGAATCCTCTCAAAGCCTCTATCGGCCAAAATGGTAAACATCTCAAACAGAGGAATGGGTGAACTCCTGTGTGGCAAATAGGTGCAAATCATGCTTCTCTTGGTGAAACCTCTCACATTGATTGAGCGATATACCAATCAAACATTCAACTTGTATGGGTGGGCCATTCTTACCTCGAGAACTATGTATGACGCAGTCATTGTGCAGGAAAGCCCATCCAGCGCATTCTCCGAATTTTCCCGTATGTATTCTCAAGATTCTGGATGAAGAAGATGTCCTTCCGCGCAAACATCCCTCCTCCCGCAGAAAAATCATTGTTTGATGAGGCTTTTGATACCATTGCATGTCCATCTGGAAGTTGACATCTGACTTGACCGCCCAAGCGAGTGACAGCATTTCGTTTCTGGCTTCACCATCACCTTGCGACTGACCACTGTTAAGTTTACGACCGACCATCGTTCTGGGGCTAGTCTGGAGGTGGGATCCAGTGGTTCGAGGGGCATGAAGCCAATAGACCGTGTAACCGATTTATGTGAGGTGATCACTGAGCTCAAACGCCAAGTTGAAGCATTGATAAGACTGATCAAGGCATTCACGACGATAGCTAAAAATTGACCACAGCATCTTGTCCGTCAGACCGGCCAGAAAGAGCGCGACATCAATCTCGTTTACAAATAACTTCGTCAAACGCTTGCCTAATGACGAGTTTCACACTCCCGAAATTGATCAAACCTCATTTCCGAGGTTCTACAAGCTTACCTCACGCGTCGTCTGCTATCCCTGAACGCAAGTTAAACCCTCGATCCCTACAATTCGACTGGTCAAATTGTTGGAAAGAGTCTATCTTTTGAGCACGATATAGCAGCGTAGCCAGTCATCCAAGTCATCCCAGGAAGCCAACACACCGATTCTAATCTGATCTTACCTAATTTGCCATGGAGTCTCTCCTTCCCATGCCAATAGGCGAACCCACCGGAAAGTCAAAATATTTAGATTTCCAGCCAATCCTGAAATCGGTACAAACAACATGGGTAAGAAGATTCCTTGAAAGCAAGAGCTTCAAAATTCCATCTAATCCTCACGTGTGTTTTTTATATTCCTAGGGAAAGTACAAAACTTTGATCTCCGTTTCTACTTTGGTATTCTTCATAGGATCATCCTGGCTATTCATTCCTTGGTCAAAATTGTTTGTCAATTCAGCTCATGTCATTGAACTTTGATTCTTAAAGCAGATTCTCCCTTTTTCCAGTGAATTTCAAAGTAAACCAATTCATAGAGCACGGATAGGTGTTGCCCACATGTCTGATACTCGAGGAATACCGGTAGAAGAGCTCCCACTGTGTAACAAAACAATGCTTTATACATTGAGAGACATTGCTGGATTGGGGTCTGAACTTTCTTACTACGTACGTAGAACCTTATTATCTTGGTCTTTGATAAGATTCTGATGTGTTCATCTTTCAGGGTGAAGCGGCTGCTGTGGCATCTTTGCTCAACTACACGATGATTTTGGACGATTCAAAGTGGAACTACGGCAAACTAAGTGTGAGCGAGATCTATTTGAGATGAACAAAGAGTGAACTCACTGACCTTTCATTTGCAGGATTATTTTGATGTACCTCCACTTGATTGCCGACCCCCTCAAAACTGGAGGGAAATGCCACGTACCCTTTTTGACAACGTTGGATTGAACGAGTCTGATCACGTCTGGGCAAGCCGCGACAAGTGAGTTCAGATGGATTAACAATATCTGGCGATGATCCTAATGTGGCTCTTCCTCGTTTATAGTGACGGTTACAGTCGCTATCTGCTGCAACATGTCGACTCTCGCGCCGTAGAAACTCACGCTGTCTGGAACTTGTTTAATCATCGAGAACAGAGGAGCATCTTACCCGCTGTGCAAAATCTACATCACTCAGTGAAGCCCATCTTTGATGCTAAATCAGACGCTTACCGACACATATGGAAACCAAACCAAATGATTCTGGACGAAGTGATGAAATTGAAGGTTGAGCTGAATGATAAGCTACTTGCGCCTCAAAACAAGACGTCCCATGGCACTTCATCAGCTGGATTTGATCTAGATTCACCAATGGCCAGAAAGGTGATCTCTGTACAATTCAGAATGGGAGACAAGATAGACGAGAATGATTATACGAAACCCGCCGCCGCCATCGGAATGAAACCAGCTCAAGGAAATCCTCATCCATTCTTTGAGGTAGTGAAATCCTATGTACCCGATTGGAAGACATCCAAAGAGCTCCCAGTCCTATTCGTTCTGTCTGACGATCCTGAAGCCGCCTTGAAGATGTTCGACGAATATCAATCATTCTATCCCCCTTCACAACGCTTTCCACTCATAGTCTCACCCAAAGCCGCCTCTATCACTGAGCACGGTCATCTACAGTCATCATTCAACTCTGCCCCTTTGGACGTCAGAAAGAAGCTTGCCACAGCATTGATCCGTGATCTCACATTCGCTGTCGACAATTCCGACTCAATTGTCTGTAGTTCAGCAAGCAATCTTTGTAACATAATGCTTCACCTACGTGGTTCTGAAGACCTTATTGGGCCCACAGGCTCATGTAGAAGTGTAGATGTACGATGGTTTCCTAATGCGATGATTCATTCATTGAACGCTCTGAGTCTCGATGCAATCAAGGATCGGGACCAAATCCTCGCTATGGTTCCACGCTTAGCCACTGATGCCAGGAACTATGTGGACCTCTAGATTACAATCATGTCGGAAAATACCTCAAGCATCAGAATTCTGACGGGAGTCCTAATGGCAGAGTTATATCAACAAACTTGTTTATATTGAACGACGGAGAAAATGATACCCTGAAGAGCTTGTTTCTGGGAAAACAAGACGTTGTGATGAGGTAATTCAAGAGCTTGATGCTCAATGGGATCAGTTATTGGTAGACTAATTTTATTTCCGAATTCTTTGTAGTGTACAACACTCTTAAAATATATAACTTATCCTCAGCGCCAGCGTTGCTTCTTGTAACAAATAATTTACCTACATAATAACATGCATGAATGCAGAAAGACATTCGTGATGATCTGGTTCATCTTCAAAATGTAATTTTTTTGCCACAGCTACGCTCAACAAAGAGACCATCAACAATTTTCTTTTCAGAGGTAGAATCGCATCCACAAACGTTTTCTACAGTTGACAAAGTTTTGCTAGCGTTTTGATGATTTTCTCAATACTGATTTCAGTTTCGAATGCTGCTTTCTTTGATCATTTGTCCTGCAACAGATGCTTCATTACGAGACAACCATAATCTGTGATGCTAAGGGTGAAAGGCCAATGTGACCAATCGAAGGTTACAATCTGATCAAGGTACGCTTAACATATCATGTTGAATCCAGTATCAATCCAGTCCACTCAACTTTCTACAAAGTTCAGGATCTTATAAGTAAGCCATTGAGAAATCTGATCCAAAAGATTGTCATGATAATCATCAATCCACGATTACACTTTTTTCCAAGCGAGAAGCTTGTCATCATGCACCTTGTCAATAATCAAAAGTACAACCATCTTGTGCGATTCGTTGTGAGTGGTGGCAAAGGTAGGGCCTCGTGCTGCGAAGGATTTGGGGGTTCTGCAAAGGCTCAAGCTACCTGCACAAAGCCCATGGCCTCATGGCGACGTCCATCTCCCTGGTCCACGTCACTTTTGCACTTGTTTCTCTTCACAACAATCTCTCTGCGACTTTTCAAGAATCAAGTAACCATGGCATTTGTAACCTCAATGGAGTCCCTCGTGGCGGCTGCGAGGTGGCTCGGAGCGACTCGACGCCTCGCCGCTGCCACGAAGCATTCCATTGAGTTCGAACATTTTGCTCTCGCTACCTACCTACCAGCAACAGCCAGCAACACCAGGCCATGGGCCAAACAACTTTGTCAATAGTTTTTGGGCGCGACATTTGACCAAGGCGTTCGAACCATCCATTCCAGCTTTCTGGGATCGACTGTATAAACCTCATAATTATTTCAAAGGATCACTTCACCCGTCGCCTGCTTTTCAAATACACAAGTTCAATACGTGCAATCAGACTCGTCATTGTTGACAGACAGGAGTTTCAATTCTGAGCGAGACATCGAATATCGACCGGTACTTCAGAGTTCAACCCACCGATTTTACACTGATCACTTCAAAACGACAATGGAACCTCTCATTCCCGTGCACATGGGCAAACATACCGTAAAATCAAAATTCTCGGATGTCCGGGCAATTCGAAATTTCATGCACACACCACGGGTACGAATCTTCTCTGAAAGCAAGATATGCAAATTTTGGTCTGATTGTCACACACACTTCCACCTTATTAGGGAAACTTCAAAACTTTGATGGCTGTTGTTCTTTTGATGCTCTTCACGGGATCATCTTGGTTATTGAAGTCTTGGTCACCACAGTTCGTAAATCTGCCATATCCTCAAAACACTAATTTTGAATGCTGACTTGATGTTTTTCCAGTAAGACCGAGATTGTTCAAATTCGCAGAACACGGATAGGGGTTGCCCAGACGGATGGTATGGCAAGAAGACCTGCTGAAGAGCTTCCACCGTGTGCTAAAACGATGTTATATACATTGAGAGATTTTGCCGGATTGGGGTCTGAATTGTCTTACTATGTACGTGAATCCCTATTCTCTTTGTCCTTGATAAGAACCTGATGTACGTACTGTCATCTTTCAGGGTGAAGCGGCTGCTGTGGCATCCATGCTCAACTACACGGTTCTTCTGGATGATTCAATTTGGAACTACGGGAAACTGAGCGTGAGTGATGGCTATTTTGCTTGAAGAGGCGTCACATATACTGACTCTTCATCTCCAGGACTATTTCGATATACCCCCACTAGCTTGCCGACCCCCTCAAAATTGGAGAGAAATGCCACGTACACGCTTCGCAAACGTTGGAGTGAATGAGCCTGATCACGTTTGGGCAAATCGTGACATGTGAGTCGATATGGTCCTATACTTTCTGGTGATGGCTCTTTTGAATACCTTTCTATTTGTAGTGATGTCAGTTATAGTGGCTACCTCCTGCAACACGTCGACTCCCGCGCCATAGACACTCACGCTGTTTGGAACTTATTCAATTATCGAGAACAGAGGACTATCTTACCCGCCGTACAAAATCTCCATCATTCAGTGAAGCCCATCTTCGATGCGAAATCAGAAGCTTTTCGGCACATATGGAAGCCAAATAAAATGATTTTGGAAGAAGTCCAAAAACTAAAGGTTGAGCTCAACGAAAGAATGCTTGCTCTTGAAAATATTGTGTCTCATCGCAGGTCTTCAGCTGACTTTGACTTAGATTCCCCCATGGCCAGAAGACTGATTACTATACACTTCAGACTGGGAGACAAGATAATAGAGAATGATGCTATGAAGCCCGCCGTGACTATCGGAATAAAGCCAGCTCAGGGAAACCCTCACCCATTTTTTGAGGTAGTCAAATCATATGTGCCCGACTGGAAGACATCCAAAGAGCTACCAGTCTTATACATCCTGTCCGATGATCCCGAAGGCGCCTTGAAGATGTTCGAAGAATATCAATCATTCTATCCCCCTTCACAACGCTTTCCGCTAATAGTCTCACCCAAAACCATCTCGATTTCTGAACACGGGCATCTTCAGTCAAAATTCAACTCCGCCCCATTGGATGTCAGAAAGAAGCTCGCCACAGAACTAATACGTGATCTCACATTCGCTGTCGACAATTCCGAGTCAATTGTCTGTAGTTCCGCTAGCAATCTTTGTAACATCATGTTCCTACTGCGTGGCTCTCAGGATCTGATTGGTCCAACAGGATCATGTAGAAGTGTAGATGTGCGATGGTATCCCAATTACATGATCCATCCATTCAACGAGCTGAGTCTCAATATGACCAAGGATCGTGAAAAGATTCTTGAGATGATTCCACGCTTAGCTACTGATCCAAGAAACTATATAGACCTCTAGATTTCCTTCACTTTGGAAAATACTCACCATAATTTTCACGGGATCTATAATGGCAGATCTACTTCGATTCAAACAACATCTGTATATAGCGACGCAGGAATTAGTATTCTCGATGAGCTTGTTTCAAGGATAACAAGCCGAGGTGGTGGGGCAATTGAAGAGCTTGATGCTCAAGGAGATCAGTTACTGGCAGATTATTTTATTTGTAAATTCTTTGTACATATGGCACTTTCCAAATATATCTTATCCTCAACGCATTAGTGACTCCTTGTACCAAGTAATTCTAACATCCATGAACGCACACAGACATTCTCAATGATCTCAACAGTTTTCAAAATAAAAGAATTCTTTTGTATCAAGTGTTTTAAGCACAACCGTTGCTTTTCGTATTTCCACTTCATATGCTTTTCCAAGAATATGGATTCCTTTATCACATAAAGTCGAACAATAAGACCGATGTAGTTAACAGTCCTTCATCGTTCACACTATCTGCTGGATGACTTCAGGGAGGGCAAAGGTAGACCGTGCTAGAAAGGTCAAAGTGCATTTGCTCTTCAGGCAGCGCGATTGATCCACAAGATCAAAGATCATGTAAAGCAGCGTCACACGTCGTAGTGCTAGGTATGAATGGTCCTTCAGCCATACTGTTGTTTGTAGAGATAGCCACATTGCTATTTGAAAAAAGTCTTCCAAAATGCCCTACGTTGCAGTCAGGTTCTCTCTCACATTTCGCATGGAGGCTCGGAGAGAAGAAGAGTACTGAGGAAGATTTGGGGGCCAAGGCACAAGTCTATGTTTATTCATTACATAGGTAAACATACAGATGTGCGAGATTATGACGCGCATTGTATCATTTCAACCTCCTTTCACCCAAAAAGCTGACCTGTTCGGGAAGACATTCCGATGCAACTTGCCGATCAATGGTCGGGAAAGGAAGACTTTTGATTCGACCGGGTAGCACCCAGCTCCCTGCCTCACCCTCTTCCTTCCGGCCAGTCCAGCCCTTACGAATCCAGTGCTGACCGACCCGATGGACGCCTTTCTCAGCGTCTGAGATCTTTACATAACCCTTTGTCGGACCTGGTACTTGTCCCTTCACGTAAACTACATTCAGCGCGGTGTCAATCCGAGCTACCAGCAAGTTCCGTACTGTGATGGGCTGATTTCCCATTCGTCCAGCCATCTTCTTTCCGGGCCATACTCGACCTGGATCCTATGAGGTCATGCAATAGTGAGTGAGAAGCGAATATTATTCGATGCTCGTAGATCACAGCTTCTCACTCACCTGATGTTGACCTGTGGATCCCGCTTTTCGATGATGCTTCGTTGATCCGTGCGAGGCGTTACCTCCACTGAAACCCCATCGTTTCATCACACCCGCAAATCCTTTACCTTTCCTGTAGAAGTAAGTCATGACGTAGCCAGATATAGTTGGCAAACCAGTGAGCTCGATAAATTACCAGAAGCGCTTATATTGGGAAAATGACCCACGAATTTGCTTTGACATCGACAAATTGGCCTGGTACAAAATGGGCCGAAGATATTTCCGTACCTGGTTGACCCAAAAATATCACCACAAGCCCCGGTGAGCTCAATAATTCAGATCGAAAAACTAATGGCAATCCTAAGAGGGGCCAGTGAGGAACATGATATAGCTTACCGACTGGTACTAATGAGGTCTCATCTGTCACCTGAAATTCAGCCACTCGATGCTTAGGGTTAACTCCTGCATGCTCGAACCACTTCCTCTGCGAGCTATTTAAATTATTCCGAGTATTCCGATTTGAGCATCCAACCTGGACAGCACAGTAACTGTCTCGGGCGTGATATTTATGACCAATCACTTGAACATCTTCGAGCTATCAATATAATCTATCCTATCAGCAAAATAGATCTTGTACTGATCCGGTAGAATCCAGAGACTTACCTCTAGCACTGTCACCGGTACACGAACTCCATCTGCGTCCCAAAAGCTTGTCATACCGCGCTTTCGAGCTATAACTCCTGTTCTTCGAATCCCGGGTGTCCATTTAGGAAGTACTAATTCCGAACTCTGTGAAGGTTCGGCGGCCGTTTCGGTTTGAGTGTTGGAATTGGCAGATGATGCCGATATCGAAAATGATCGGAAAAGATTGAATAAAGAACTAGCGTTCGTTGGGCCCAAGGAATGCAGAGATAGACGACATCGTTGAAGGGAAGTCATAGTCGAAGGTCAAGGTGAATGAGGTTTTCGACACCAAATGGGCCAGGACTTGAATCTTTGGGATGAATGTACATGAAAAAAATCGGTACTACTGAGTATAGCCGGGTCGGGCTCGGACCACCCGCTGGCCGACTGTGATGACCGATGTATTTTACATACATATGTTACTGTACAAGTATTGCTTCACAAAATTGAGTTATGAGCTGTTGCAACAGGTGCAGCTTGTATCCATTTGATTGATGATTTATTTTCTTTGCCCAGGAGAAAAAGTCATGGGAACCAAACAAAGCGTGTTAGCGGAGCAAAGAGTTTGATGAGAGGTTTGTATGAGTTTTTTTACTGAAAGAAGGAAAGATGTGAAATAGTACATCATGACATGCATTACTATGTACTAGATCTGAAGAGGTAAAATTTGAAGGGACATTGCCTCAATAAGAATAGATCATATATCTCCAAAGTCAAGTAGAAGGAACATGGAATTGATGAAGTCAAGAATACTTCCAAAAGTTTTTCAAAAGACCCTGATATCATGAAGACATCACTTCCAATAAAATGCCATTCTGTGGAGGGCCATAATGATACAGGACATTTTGGCTCCATATCTTCCTGGATACTCTTGTTTGAGTACATCCTAGATTCCCAGATCCAAGCCAACAATGATGGCCATTTACATAGTATCACTAGTCCATTTGATCTAACCAAGGATGAGAAAGAAAAGAAAAAAGGGTTGACTGTGAAAAAAATGTACAATTTATGGCACCACTCAATGGAAGATCATGAAACAAAAAGTCTGAGCAGTAGCTGACTCTCAGGTTTTAATACTTATAGGCATCAATAACTGAAACAGTAGTTCTGGAAAAGGGACATTCTTTTCAATGGTATTTGATAATTGATTACCTACCTTAACTAGCACAGATGTCACTTGCCTGTGTGTCATGATGAAGCCTATCTGAATCTCAAGTGCTCTCTAACAGTTCCTTCCTGGCCTCAAAGTGAGTGATGATTCCTGATCTACGCAAATAATATTTTGTCAAGCCCTATCAAGCCCCTTTGAGGATATCAGTCATGACGCTCTGCTTACTAATTTGCTCTGTCAGCTAACTTTTGCTTCAAAGCTATTTCTTATGGCAGGTCGTTTTCTGTTTCTTAGATTTCTCAAACTCTGTGTGTCTAGTAGTACAACTCTAACCCCTCAAATGTCATCATCATTCACGTCATTGCCACTTTATCACTCACCACATAGATTCCACAACGCTCGCGGGGCAAACATGCAGATCATCTCAATGTGCCGCGAGCTAAACTGTTCTGTAATACGACCGTTATGCCGAACCCACACGATATATAGTTTACCTCCACGGCCCTGGCCAGACACGACTGGGGCACGGTAGTCCTATTTTTTTATTGCATGGCTTGAAGTGTTGTTGCCCCAGCTCCCGGCTCCATCCCTCTATGTGGCTGGATCCGAGAAGCTGAGCTTTTGCTCCAACAGGTTTGAAGTTGCAATCACCTAGGTCACTTGTAGAGCTGTCAATGATCTGGTATGTATCAGGTGAGATAAATGATTAGAAAGCGTAAGTTAAATCATACACCGTGACCCATTAAGTAAAACTTAGATGATATGTGAAAAGTTGAAGTGATGATGTCATCGAGTTATGGTCAGAATGGTCAACGGGTCAAGAGAGGAATTTATAAAGCAACCCATTTCATCGAGACTTGTTATCCCAATACTTCATCCATCCATCATCCCAGTTTTTGACTTCCTAAAGAACCTCTGCTCGTCTTATCATCATGTATTCAACCACTCAATTCTCATCCTCGGATAATTATCATAAACTCATTACACCCATTCTACCTACTTTCAAGAAACCTAACTTGGACTTGAAAACCTTTAACTCCATCTCACTTGCTGAATTCCATCCTCTCAATAATCCTAATTATCCCATTGCAATCTTGGCGGGATCTGAAACCCAATCCATGAAACAGGATGTCATCACTTGGAACGAGGTAGGGAGTGCGATGGTTGGAGTTGCCCATAAGCTACGTCACACCCTCGAGAGCTCTCCAGCTAAAGAGCCTGCAGTAATTGGTCTCATCGGGCACAAGGACCCATTGACATACTACGCCATTCTTTTGACCATCATCAGGACAGGATCCATCGTCAGTCTATCATTTTTAGCGCAAGAAAATCCTTTTTTTGCCGATCAAACTTTCACCATCTGTTTTCTGCGTTAACACTTTGCCTTGATTCTTTTGACTTAGCCTTTGCTAATCTCACCCAGGAACTCGATTGATGGAATCGTTCATCTGATCCAAGCAAGCGGCTGTAAACATATTTATGTCGAATTTGACCCTGATGTCAAAGCCTCTGATTTCCCAAATATGTCAATTTCAGAGAAGCTCAGTCGTGATCAAATAGCGGATATAGAACGAGAATTACCAAAATCTCACTCTCTCAACCTACTTGGCTTTCCAAATGCATTCGAACTTTTCCCTCGCTTGATCAAAGGTTCTCCATATGAATTCAATCACGACTTACCACATCAACTCGCGCAAATCCCCAAACCAAGTCAATCTGAATTTGCTCCTGTTATGATCTTACATTCTTCAGGCTCAACTGGCATACCAAAATTAATCCCTCTCAATAGAATCACTTTTCAATGTTTCTTACGCTCATCTGATTTTGGACAATTCTCTTGGACGGGAGAATTGATTTCAGCAATGGCACTTCCACCGTACCATGCATTAGGAGTTCAAACATGTTTTAACGTTTGTCTTTCAAGTGGCCTTGTATGTGCTTTCTTTCGTCCTGAGCTTGACCAGAACAAGCGTTGCGTGGTGAGGACACCGAACCCAGTGTCGATTATGGAAGCCATGCGATTACTGGGTTGTACTCTAGTAGTCCTGAGCCCTCTCACAATCGCTGTGAGCCAATTTTACTGTCACCTTTGGCCTGGTATATTCTTGCTCTGTGTGGTTTTGACACGTCTCGACTTATTATAGGAATACTCTAAAGAGCCAGAGAGTATCGAGTTTTTAAAAGGTGTTAAACGCATCGCTTACGGCGGCGCACCCTTATCTGTCAACATTGGGAATTTACTTCAACAGAATGGTGTCAAGATCAGTTCTTTGTATGGCATGTGAGTCATTATTTTTGGTATTTAAGCACCTTCAAATCTTGAAGCTCATTCTCCTGGATCTAGCACCGAAGTAGGGATAGTCTCGGTTTGCCTACCTGATCCTTGCTACGGAGCGGATTGGGAATACTTCGAGATATCGCCACAAATCAAGGCTCAACTGGAGCCACATGAGAACGGATTGTATGAGCTGGTGATAAATGTGGGCCACATTTTACAACATTGTTATGAACATCAAAGCTTGAATTGAATGATATTTCTCGTAATCGTATAGGCTACCGACCAACATAGGTGCTCTTTGGGGTTCGAAAAAGAATTCGGACCACAAACTTATCATACATCTGATCTTTTGGAAAAACATCCAACCCGTTCTATGTATCGCCTCGTGGGTAGACTTGATGATCAGATCACTCTGTCTAATTCGGAAAAAATAAACCCGTGAGCCTCCTTGTTCCTTCAAACACTACTCGACGATTTTCTTGATGGTGGCCTTTGTCATCAGAATCCCATCAGAAACAACCATCCGATCCAATCACGCGATCAACGGTGTATTGTTATTCGGGCGTGGAAAGCCTCAAATTGGTGTCGTCATTGAACCGCACGAGAAATATGCTGTGGACGTAAATGACCGTTCCGCCGTTGAGCGCTACATCGACTTAATCTGGTATGTCGTGCTTTCCATGCGATACTAGTGCTCGTACGAGCATACCTCCTTTACTTATGATTATTATTTTCAAAGGCCCTCAATTGAAGAAGCAAACAAGCTTGCACCTGCGCATGGTAGAATAACGCGAAATATGATCCTTGTCATTGATCCGCGATCCAAATCAATTCCTAAGAACTCCAAAGGATTAGTGTCACGACCTAAAACTTTACAGCTTCTAGCCGAAGAAATTGAAGCGATTTATCAACAAGAGCCTGATGATGATACTGTCTCTGGATTGCGGCTCCTTGATTCTTCTGGGAAACCTTCGGAATCCTCAGTCACATTGAGTATCAAGAGCATTATTCAAACCGTTCTCAAGCGGGAGGTCAAAGTGAATGATGACCTATTTCTCGATCAAGGCTGCGATAGGTTAGCGAATTTCTTTTTGAACGAGATCATCATGTCAAGTCACCATGAACTCATTACATTTTTCTACTCAGTGTCCATATCACCTCTATCCGATCAAAGACTTCGCATCTGATCAAGGCCAACACCGAGAAACAGATCAAAATTCCAACGAACGTAGTGTATCAATACCCATCAATCGAAAAAATGACCAGATGGCTCATGGGCGTCTTGTCTGAAGACGAAGGAGGTAACCATAAGAAGGGAGATGGACTTGACCCGTGTCTACAACTCAAAGCCATGATCAAAAAGTATCTACCTCTCCAAGTATAAAACTTCTTCGTGAAATGATCCATTGTATTTCTATCATGACATCCACCAACGTGTAAGGTGTCATTGTGTTTTCAATACATCATAAGATATTAAACTTCCTACAATCCCAAACTTTATTGATGAGGTTTTAAGATAGCCTCTAGGTAATTTATTAAATCAATTTTTCTTGACAATTGAAGCTACATAGCGAGTCAAAAGACAGGAGGTACCCAGCCTCAAGTAAATCAGGTAGATGAACTTGCCAAATGACACCTGCAAACTTTGAAGATGTGCCCATGTGCGACCTGTGAAATTTGATAAGATTGGAGCTATGGGTATAATTTGGCAGGGTCAAAGCAAAAAAATGCGCATTTGATTCGAAGCAAGCAATGTTCCAAGAAGAAAATGAGTGTCATAAGTCCAACATATGTTGAAGAGTCAATCAAACAGAGGATAATCTCTCCGGGAGCGCACTCTGGACAGCACTATTTGGCGCCCGGTTCTTCCGACCCGACGTCCGGTTCTCGGATAGCTAGACCGGGCAGAACTCGTTTGACGCCGATTTGAATTGAAACCGGTTTTAAACCGGGCTTGAGCCATTCTTGATCCACCGGCCTTGAACGATACATGAATGGATTGTTATTTTCTTTCCCACATCATGAAGTTCTTTCTAGACTTATACCATACACCTAGATAACCGATAGGTTACTGATTCGACTTGAGATGTGAAGAATATAAGATATCCAAAAATCGAGTGACAATGATTAAAATAAACAAATCAAAGTCTAAGCTAAGGATAATGACAGATATGCTTTTTTGGTTTCATTTGTTCAGTTAATTGAAGAGATAATTAGTGAAATATCTGATGATAATTAGTGTGATATCTGATGAGCTTTTGTGGCCAGGGGTCACAATGGCTGTCCAAGATGAAACAGATAGGCAAGAACAATGTGGTGTGTGATCATGGTGTAGTGGTATCTGTTCTCATCTGTGATCCATGGGCCCTGGGTTCAATTCCTGGGTGTGAGCCATAGGTGGGTGCTGGTGTGTATGGCGAGCACTCGTGCTACTGTTGACTGGTATCCAGTCTTGACAAAGAGCTCTCACACAATTTTTGATGTCAAATACATTGTTCCTGGGTGGGCAACACCTGTCAATCAAACTGTGACAGTGGGTACCAGCCATGCAACAGCTTTGAAAATTCTGTGCAACAGTGCAGTGACTTTATTAAGGGTGCGTTCACTTAAGGAATTTCTGACCAGAAATCACATTCTGTAAATTTTTTAATGCAAAAATGAAACATACACCACCAAATAGACACTTTAAATTTTACAGAATGTGATTTCTCACCAGAGATTGCTTAAGTGAACGCGCCCTAAGAATGCTTAATGCCTCACTCTGGAGCACCCATCACGGCTACTTGAGGGTCTGGAGCTTCTTCAACATGCCAACATGCTCAAATGGGCTTGAATATTGGCAAATAAGCAATCTGAGAGTTGTAAATCAGGGAATGTGCCAAAACTCCAAGCCTTGTAAATAAAACAGTTTCATTCCCAATTGTTCTTGCAATAAATCATCTTGAGTACACTCCAGATTTTATAATGTTATCATTTTGTACATGCTCCAAGTGTATTGAACATCCCTGGGTCAACTCCACTGGTAAGACTCAAATGGGGAAATATCAAAGCCGCTCAACCAGGAACCAATATGTCCAAAATGACAATGAGCACCTTCAAGAAGAGGCCAAGCACCTCTGAAACATTCAAAGACCATCAGTGCAGACCAAACCAACACTCTCATCAGATGGTGAAAGTGACTCAAACACAAGTGAGGCCAGCAAAGGGGTGCTGTCATTTGGAGCTTATATACATCAGTGGAAACTCACTATCCATAGATTAACCTCCAAAGTTGTTGATTGTCTTTTATATCAGGTGTTGTATTTGTCTTTATTGCTTGGCTTCATCTTCATTGCAATGTTAGCGTTAAAAACTGCCGCATTGCACAAGATCACCACCTCAAGATCATCTGTGTCCAAGGACAACTTGGAACCTGAGGCTGCAGGCTGATTCTTTTGCACGTCAGGGTCAAAATCAGCATCCTCATCAGCATCCTCATCAGCATCCTCATCAGATCTCACCTTTTCATCTTCAAATTTGCCTTCCTCAAAATAATCAGCCTCCAAATCCTCCATGTCTACAGGTGCTGTCAAATCAATGTCTCAAGAGCCTTTGGATTGAGCATCATCATCACCACCATTGGACTATTCATCAGAGGAGTCTGGGGGTGAATCAGCAGATGGGATGTGGTAAGGAGCTGATCATCAATTTCTGATGTGTGTCAAGTTCTTTTGTAGAATTCAGCCAGCATCCAGAGCGCATCCATGAGGGGGACAAGTAAACATTGATGGACCTGGAACTTTAGGGACTCTTCACATGTGAAAAAGGTCAAATTCTTTGGAAACAGCTTTAGCTTTCTCAATCCACACAAAAAATGAACTTTGTGGCATTTTTGGATCAATAAGAAAGTCTCTTGATGATGTGGAAAGGGAGCCTAGGATGCTTCTTGTCATTGCTGTGAGCAGCCACATCTTTCAAGAATCTTTGGTCACACTAAGGATAGTTGTTGAGGAAAGCATGGCACGAGCCAAGACTTTGAATGTAAAAAGACATGAAGCAGGAAGTGAGAAGTGCACAATGAACAAGAAAAAATTGTCAATACCTACACATTCTTGATCTTTTTGGTTAGTCTTTTGTTCTTGATCTGCCTTTACTTTCCCAGCTGCCTTTTGCACCTATTAGAATTGGCCAGGCAAGTAGTGATGTACACAATGGTAGTAAATCATGATTAAATGGGGCAAATTGTTGATGTACTGCATATCCATGTTGGCATTGTCAAAGGCAGAAGTAGCAGTTAGCTGGCAAAAGGCTGATATTGCACTGAATTGACAAGCACAATTGAGAAGGGAATTGGTTGCTTTGGTCAAGTCAGGTCCCCAGTATCAAAGACCCAGCTTAGCAAGGATGGCATGGATGAACATGATGTGAATTTTCTGGAGATTGAAAAGGGAATTTGCTTCATAAGGCTTCATAAGAAATATATCCTGAAATTTCACTGAGACAATTAATTTAAAAATGGTGAGGAGAGCTCATACTTAAGTACTTGATACATGACTGGGGAGATATACCTTCTGTATATCAACTGTTACAACTTGGAGAAGAGGATATAGGAAGAATGATATGATGAAAAATGAAATTGAACTACAGCTGATTGGCATATGCAGTCCACATAGCTCTGGATGAAGTCTGACATATTTTGTATGTACACTGTTTCTTCAAATTAAGACCCTTCTGTTCTTTCCCAAACCTTGCACATTCCACAGAACACACTTGAGCTAGTGTCTGTATGTGATTCTGGATGCCACATCAACAAATAGTCTAATACAATGATGGAGGTGTCAACATACTTATCAAACCTCCTGACACTTATAGAATCCATCTGACAAGCTTTTTCCAAATCATTTTCTCCCAGACCTCAAGTTCCTTCAAGAACTCAGAGCCTCAAACTATGGTAAGAGTTTTCTTATATTGGGTAGTCTTGAATGTTGTGATACAGAAGGTCAAGGACTTCTGGTATTAGAGTCTGCTACAAATTCAAGAACAAATCATCTGATGCAGTCACAATACATTGAGTTTGGAGATTGACAAAGTAGTTCTCATATCCAGGGATCTCTAAATGTAAACACATACAATCAGACTCATGAGGAGTGCATCAATCAGGTAAGAAGAGCACATCATCTTGAGAACTGAAAAGAAAAATGTCAGAGGCTGAATTTTTCTCCAACCAGATTCATTCAGACTCACCCCAAAACTTTTTCTTGAAAGTAGGAATTCAAACTTGGGTCTTGAGACTCAAATTCCTGACAGAACACCAGATCATGAACGGAAAAAGACTTTCAATAGTTGTACTGGTGTTCCAACACCAGAGCTTTATGTACCAGTTGAACAAACTCCAACACATCCCATGATAGCCAATCTGACATGCATCTCATATTTGACTCAGGGTTTGATATGCAAACATACCCTATTCCCTCTGCAGGCTCCAGGGGACGTCTCTGTGATACTGATTTGTGGGGCTTATGTTAGGTAGATCTTGCCCCCATGCTTGATGCTAGAACTAGCAATGCATGGAATCATCTTACAATCAACTCTTATCCAGTCCCCTTGGCATTGTATGTCAGATGTCTATAAATCCCAGCTGATTCCACTCAAATAAGAACCTACCAGCATATAAGCAGTCTTCAGGAAATAAATCTCAGCCTTCCATTTGATTGAATGATAGAAAGCACATCACACTCATTTATAATGTCAGGTAGGTAAAATGAGACCTCTTTTGATTAAGATTGCAAGAAGTTGAATTAACATTTTTCTTAATCAATCTCTCACCACACACACCTCTCTCTACTGATCAAAGCACTATCATCACCATACAGTTGACTTTGTCAAAACCAATACTCAAAAAAATGGAGGTAAATGTTAGGACTGCTCTCGGGGTTTGGTTCTGACGGAGGGTTAAGGAGTCTTCCGTATATCTATCCTAGTAATGCAAATTGTCGGATGAAGAAGAAAGAGAGGCTCTCGCCGTACAACGTGGACTACACTATGAGGTATCTGTGATATGTAGCATCGGGCCTTTCACATCCTGTTACATGCTGTATAGGATCATAACAGTATCCCCCCTTTTACGCCCAAACTCCCTCTTGCGAGTTCTGCGTCCTTTCCATGGGTAGCATTAAAAAACCCAGTGGGAAAAAGCTTACCCTCTCACCCTTCTCCGTGTCCTTTTATGTCTACTTGATGCGTCTGGAAACTTCTTGTTGAATTCATTTACTAAATCATTACTATTTTTTAAATTAATTTCAGGTTCCCATGAATTGTGTTCCGTGCTGAATCCTTTCCAAGCTACTAAATATTCCTTCTTCTTGTATCTTTTGCGACAGTCTAAGATTTCAGATACTTCCCATTCCTCATTGTCATTGATTGTGATTGCTGAAGGTTCTGTTTGCCGTCTTTCATCAATTGTGTCTTGAGTGTGCTTCTTCAGTAAAGATACGTGAAATACCGGGTGTACGCCCTTCATGCTGATCTTATACGCTGATCTTGATATTTTTTGAATGATGTTGAACGGGCCAAGCC